CTATCAAAGGGATGCGTCACATTGTTAGCCACGCAGAGACTGAAGTCATCTACATAATATAGCCCCCTCTCTTAGTACCACGACCAAGAATCTCCTTAGTGTGAATATCCTGAAGCAAACAAAAACTCGGATAAATGAGTACACAACAATTCAATTGTTCAGTAAGCTGACTAACTAACAACAATTTATTGGATAAAGATGGAACAAGTAAAGTATTAGACAGTGAGAGAGAGGATGAGAGTTCAACAGTGCCAACCCCCGTCACAGGATAAGTAACTCCATTGGCATTTGCAATACAAGTTCGTCGAGGTTGTGTAGTATTAAGAAAATCATCAGGATCAAACATCATATGATCAGTTGCACTAGAATCAATTATCCAACCCCTGGAATCAATCTGAGCGGAAGTATGGAATCCATAACCAGTACCATTACTGGTCGTATTGCATTGTCCTCGATCTTTAAGAGTAGCCCACCAATCAGGATAGCCATGCAATTTAAAACAAGTCTCACGAGTGTGTCTCGGATCACCACAATATTTGCAATCTGGTCCATGTGTCGGGGTCGTTAGTCGAGAAGTCATAATCTGTGCAGCGGAAGATGTATAGGATACAGGTTTAGTAGGAATTCGGATCGGGATTTGAGTCTGAGTCAGAGCCGGAGTCGGAGTCGATGTTGGGATCGAGGTCTGAATAAAAGACAAATTCGGGGTCGGGGTAGGAGTCATCATCGGAGTGGGGATCGAGGTCGTTGTCAGAGTCGGAGTCGAAGTCGGGTTCATCGTCGTCGTCATAGTCGGGGTCGTCGTCGTGGTAGTCAAAAGAGGATCTTGATTCAGGATCAGATCGGGGCCAAAGTCTGCATCTATAGGAGCTGAGCCATCTGGGCACTCAACTCGGCTATAGTTGGTTGAGAAGGAGAGAAGGAGTCGGTGGTGCTACCTCCATGAGGGATGAAAAAATCATCAACCCCCATAGCAGTGGCGGGGGTTGGAAAATAGAGTCAGCAATTCCAAGATCGCCGCTCTGATACCATGCTAAAATATGAGAACTATGAGAGAATATTTGTTTGTGGGAATTTTCTATGTATTCTTCTCCTTGTAGGAGGTTATATTTATAATACAACGAAATCTGAATGGGCAAGTAAATAATAAATTCCTAAATCTATTTACAGTAGGAAATCAGGAATTAAAGTAAATCAATTACAATTATAATAGGAATTCTTGTTGTGTAAGGAAAGTAAGACAATATCCACAAGTCACGCCAACAAATATCTGATGGACTTGTTACAAAAGAAAAAAATGGAGGGTGCTAAGCCTTGTTATACACCTCTTGGAACTACCAAACTGGATCACGGTGGTACACCTTTGGAAAATCCCACAGAGTATAGATCCATTGTGGGAGGCCTACAGTATTTAACTTGGACTCGGCCTGATATCTCTTTTGCAGTTAATCAAGTCTGCCAGTTCATGCATGCTCCAACTGATTCACATATGCAGGCAGCCAAGCGAATACTCAGATTTCTCAAGGGTACCCCTTCACATGGTATATGGTTTCATAAAGGTCCTCTCACTCTATCCGCCTACTCTGACGCAGACTGGGCTGGCTGCACTTTTGATAGGAGATCCACGGGTGGATTTTGTGTGTTTCTTGGCTCCAACTTAGTGAGCTGGAGTGCTAAAAAGCAGCGTACAGTTGCTCGTTAGTCTACTGAAGCTGAATATCGATCCCTGGCTCACACTGCTGCTGAGGTTACATGGATCTGCAAAGTCTTTCGAGATTTTGGTTTCTCCTCCTCTGTTAAACCTACCATTTGGTGTGATAACATTTCTGCTATCTCCCTTGCATCAAATCCTGTTTTTCACGCCCGAACCAAACATGTGGAAATTGATTATCATTATATCCGAGAGCTGGTTCTTGCAAATCTGGTTACAGTTCAGTATGTTTGCAGCCAAGACCAGATAGCTGATATTCATACTAAATCTTTGTCTAAGAATCGGTTCCTCTTTCTTCAATCCAAGCTTTCTCTTGGTACTCCTAGTCTTTCCAAGCTCAGCTTGAGGGGGTGTAAAGATAAAGATGCCAAGTCATGACTCATGACAGCTCTTTTTAGTCTGTTATGCTGTTATGTTTGTTACAGCAGGTTGTTAGGGAAAGCTTAGTACAGCCTTGGTTATATATATACACCTCAAATGTAAATGTAATTAAGTAAGAAAATTCAGTAAATGAGAAGAGGATTATTCAGTAAAACTTTTCTTTTGTTTTCCTTTGTTTCTCTGGTTCCTTTGTTTCTCTTTATGGTATCAATCGCCACTGCCTCACGGCACTCTTCGATCCTAGTCTCTTCCGCTTCTGTGCTCTAATCTCTGGTTTGATCTCTGATCTGTAAGCAATTGACTGTTGCTGTTCTTTCTCTTGATTCTTTGTCTCCTTCATCTCTGATGGCGTCACCTCTTGAATCCTCTTCTCCGATTCCGTCTATCCCCACTCAGAATCCCAATTCTTCCTTTTCAAACCCTAATTCGTCCCAAACCTACACTTCTCTTACAATTCAAAACATCGGTAGCATGGTGCCGATCAAGCTCAAGCGTTCGAATTATCTGCCTTGGTGTGCTCTGTTTGCCCCAATTCTTCGTCGCTACAAGCTTCTTGGACTTGTTGATGGAACTGAGTCTTGTCCGGTGCCATTTTTACCAGATCGATCACTCAATCCTGCTTACGAGAGTTGGTACGAGAAGGATCAGAATCTTCTCATCTGGTTCAATTCAACACTCTCTGAGGAAGTCATTCCGTTTACTGTTGGTGTTTCTTCGTCTAGAGATCTGTGGCTCAAACTTGAGCAGCGCTTTGGTGGTGTTTCTGATGCTCATATTCATCAGCTTCGTTCTCGTCTTCAGAGTATTCAGAAAGGCTCCCAAACAATGGCTGATTATCTACAACAGCTCAAGGAAATCTCTGATTCCCTCACGGCAGCCGGAGCTTCGGTTTCGGATCGCGATCTTATTGCTGCTACACTGGCTGGGCTTCCTGATGAGTTTGAATCATTCATTGATTCTATCATGCTCCGTCTCTCTTCAACTTCTCTTGATGAATTACATGGTTTATTACTCACAAAGGAGCTTTCCATGACTCGAAGGAAGAAAATTGC